TATAGCTCACCCCCCCTATATGATATATGGATCATGGGGGGGTGGGGGGTGACCATATATATATATGTAATATATATATATATATGTAGAAAAAGAAGACATCTGTTTTATACAACAGCAGAGCGTGACTCTTGGGACCTTGAGGAGAAGCGAAGGTGCGGGGTCCAGTCCACCTTCATGGGGTGCTACAATGAGCCATAAACTCCCAAGTGTCCAGATCTACTCCAGGGGTCGGAACTCTAACATATGGTACAAGTTATACAAGTGTATCGTATAGTATTGAAGAAAACTTTAATGTGAGCATATAATAGCTAATTTTATGTATAATATGGAAAAGCACCATGCAATAGATGTATACTCCGGACCCCAAGGCCAGAGACCCAGTCCCGCTGCGCCGGGCACCCGGCTGCTGAACGGGGTCGCTGCCAGACTTGTCTTGAAGATCTATGAACATAGCATTCTGCTAATGTTAATCTCGAAGTATATACAAACAAAAGAAGCACCAAACATAGCACAAACACACAATCGCAGAAATAATGTAGTATGATGACTATGTATCTTGAGTCTTGCTTCACTTTGATGGAGACGAGTTGGCCGCCTGACCACAGGTGGTCTCTGAATGCGGTTGAGATCCAGCAAGTCTCCCTGCAGAATTTCCCAGATCCTCTTTCAGGCGCTGCGCGTTCGGCCATGCGCCAGTCCAGTTTTGTTGTTCTGATGTCTTTGCATCTTCTCATAGGTACATGTATTGACATAAAGAATGTGCATACATGCATATATTCTTCATATGTTCATATCTGTATGTATATATGTCTTGCTATTTAAGATTTTACTTTACCTATGTACTTAATTCCATTTAAACCCCGGACCCCGCGAGCTCATCGGTTTTATCTGAAGAAGCTGGGGCTTGTTCCCTGAAGTATACTGAGACTTCGAATCTGGATGGTTCCTGGCAACTTCTTCTGGGCTTCTTTGCTTGACGCCATTGTCTCCGTTCCACATGTTGGGGGCTAGTAGCCGCCGTTAGACCCAACGCTTGTGCACACATTCGCCGCCCTTTATTTGCAGGTTTCAGGACAATGTGGGAGATCTTGGAGAAGTTGAGCAGAAGCGCCAAGCAGGAGCTCAGTCAAACCGTTGCATGGGCAGAATGCCAAAGCTCGCTGGTCTCTGTTTACCATACCTTGGCTTCTTCAGCGCAAACCGAAAAATGCGGATCGAATCCAAGATTTTCATGTCTGCACCAGGACACTCTGAAGCAGTCACCAGCAAGATTGCCAAGCAGAGGCTCACGGAGTCGGCCCCTGCCCTTTCCTCGGTAAGTGGCTCATGGCTCTCTCTTGGGGCAAATGAGTTCAGAGCGTTGCAGCCAAGGGACTGCGCCTCTCCCAGTCCTAGCAGGCGGATCGTTTTGCTCAGGTGTGGGGTTTCCGAAGTTCGGGGTACCTTATTGAGGTCCCTATAATAAGGGAATCCTACTATTTGGGCACCCGGGTGTTCATGTTAGGGGTCCCCTATGTTCGTTAAACCCCGGGTCATCTTCAGGAGTCTGATTCAGGAGCATCACGAGCAGTAGCACGCACAAGGAACCCATGCGGTAGCCACACCGCATAAACCCTAAACCCTCTGAAGCATTAGTGGCTTTTGTGTAGACTCTAACTTTGTAGACTTAAACCTTAAAGCCTAAACCTGAAAGGCCTAAACCCTAAACCCTAAACCCTAAACCCTAAACCCTAAACCCTAAACCCTAAACCCTAAACCCTAAACCCTAAACCCTAAACCCTAAACCCACAAACGCTCCCAAGGTCTGCATAAGCCCCTGAGTAGCCTCAAGCCCCTTCGCAGGCTGGGCTCTGCGGCCTCACCAACTCGACCAGGCCTTCTGTGAGCTGCGATTGGGGTTTAGGGTTCAGGGTTTAGGGTTTAGAGTTTAGAGTTTAGGGTTTAGAGTTTAGGGTTTAGGGTTTAGGGTTTAGAGTTTAGGGTTTAGAGTTTAGGGTTTAGGCTTTAGGGTTTAGGGTTTAGGGGTTTTCGGGTTTTCGGGTTTTAGGGTTTTCGGGTTATCGGGTTTTCGGGTTTTCGGGTTTTAGGGTTTTGGGGTTTTGGGGTTTTGGGGTTTTGGGGTTTTGGGGTTTTGGGGTTTTGGGGTTTTGGGGTTTTAGGGTTTAAAGGAATTGTATAGTGCTCAGGCCCAGAGTTTTGACCGAATGTTTTGGGCGGGTTTTGGGCGAGGGTTTTGTTGCTTTCGGCGAAAGTTTTGGTCGGGTTTGGGGACAAAGTTTGGTTATTCGCTTCAAGTTTCGGATGGAAGTGTTCAGGTCCAGAGTTTTGACCGCAGGTTTTGGGCGGGATGTGAGGGTTTTTTTTTGGTGTTGGGGCGAAAGTTTCGGTCGGGTTTAGGACAAAGTTTGGTCTTTAGCTTCGAGTTTCGAGTTTTGCCCTGGGGGCCTCTTCAGTCTGTTGAAGCAAGTTTGTTTTTGGGGTGGTGAGCAGGTTTTGGGCGAAAGATGTTTTTGCTTCAAAGTTTTGCCCTGGGGCCTCTTTAGGCTTTTGAAGCCTTGTTTAAGCCGAGATTTTGGGCCCTTGTAAAGTTTTGAAGGCTTGTTTAAATGAATTGAACATTTGAACTCCAGGGACTTTTTGGATCAACTGTGCCAGCTTGTTTAGAGCAACAACTGTGTAAGTTCAGAATGATATCACGTACAACTTCTTTCTATCCTGGCCTTGAGGGTTTACGGTTTTTTGGTTTGGGGCTCAGGGCTTAGGGTGTTAAACCCACAATGACCTCTCTTGCTACACTGTATGTTTGGGCCGTTATTGCGATGAGTTTGGTAGGATTGCATAGGATGTTTAGGGAGCTGCGACATGCTTCCGTCATCCGAAGATACTTGTGCGACTTTGAAAGACACGGTGGGGGGGGGAGCCGAGACTAAGTCTCTCAAGTTCAGTTATAGGGTCCTTGAGGCGGGGGTTCAGTGGGGTATATACCTGAAGGTTCCCTCATACTCCCCACTGCTCCCTAAGGCTTCCTACCCAGGCTTTCCCTAAGTTTTCCTAGGCGCCTGCCCCGGATGAACCCTCCTCCCTTCAGCACCCGACAATTAAGGTCATCCATTCATATCCATGCCATCCTTGCAGGTACAGGCGCAAGTAGCCACTTCTCTGGAAGGAGCGGAACACCCTTTCAGGACTCGTTGCTTGTTCGCATGTTTCGCTCCACGAGCACCGCCTTTCAAGACCTAAACCCTAAACCCTAAACCCTAAACCCTAAACCCTAAACCCTAAACCCCGGAAGGACAGACGCCCGGGCACAGGCAGCAGTATTCCTGGAAGAATCCGTACTGCTCGGGACCACAGTATGTGCCTGTGATATGCTCGACACACTTTGTTCTTCACAGGTTGTGTCCATCACTGAAGGCAGTTTCAGGATTAAGTTGGGACGCGAACGCATTGTGCACATGGGGCGGAGAGGTTTTTGAACATCTTCATGCCAGGCTGAAGTTGCCGAAGCTTTTGGTTGTGCACTGGGTTTAGGGTTCGGGTTTAGGGTTTAGGGTTTAGGGTTCAGGGTTCAGGGTTTAGGGTTTTCTGGCTGCTTTTTTCGCCCACTTGAGGTCTCCTGGGGCTCCAACGAGGCAGCCCGTCGTCGCGAGTGGAGCCGGGCGAGCAACTTGCGGCTTGTCAATCTATGGTTTAGGGTTTAGGGTTTCGGGTTTAGGGTTTAGGGTTTTGGTTTGGGGTTTTGGTTTAGGGTTTAGGGTTTAGGGGTTTCCGAAATTAGGGGTGCCTTATTGGGGTCCTTGTGATCAGGGAACCCTTCTATTTGGGGGGCTGGTTTTGGGGTCCCCTATTTTCGTAAACCCCCATCAAGGAATCAACTCCACTGGGTCGTGCAGGGCTTTCATTGAAGTTGGAATCGTTGGAATCACTGATACACCTGATTGGCTAAACCCTAAACCCTAAACCCTAAACCCTAAACCCTAAACCCTAAACCCTATAGACCCTAAACCCCATGGCTGCCCAGGTCATGGGGTGACAGGCCGACTCGTGCAAGTGCCAGCACAGGTCTAGCTGGATGCTTAAGGGTTGCCCTAAACCCTAAACCCTAAACCCTAAACCCTAAACCCTAAACCCTAAACCCTAAACCCTAAACCCTAAACCCTAAACCCTAAACCCTAAACCCTAAACCTAACCCTAAACCCTAAACCCTAAACCCTAAACCCTAAACCCTAAACCCTAAACCCTAAACCCTAAACCCTAAACCCTAAACCCTAAACCCTAAACCCTAAACCCTAAACCCTAAACCCTAAACCCTAAACCCTAAACCCTAAGCCCTAAACCCTAAACCCTAACCCTAAACCCTAAACCCCAAACCCCAAACCCTAGGCCCCCCAAGGCGTTAATGGGTCGCGTCAGCTACTCCTGGGCACGCGCGCACGCGCACGCGGTGGCTTCTACGAGAGAGCTTTGGTCGAAAGAGTGCGCGGTAGCCGGCGAGCCAAGAGTTGTGATCCATCCAGGGTCTTTAGGGTTTAGGGTTGTAAGATTTGGAAACTCTGGGCCAGCCTCAAACCAACCACAAGACCATCAGAGAAATCTGCATCACTTGTGCATCAGAACTTTTGCGAGCTCCAGAAAGCACGTACGCGTCAGTCCGCGATACAAAGGTCGTGCGAGAGGTCGCGAGAGAACCTTTCGTAGGATAAGAGGGGTTCAAAGGGTTTTGGCCACAGCTCACTTGAACACCGCCTTGTGTTGCTGACTTCCTGCAGCTACTCAGAATTACTCAGAGAGGTTGCAGTTGTCCTTTGCATGTACCTGGAAGACCAAATGAACCTTAAAATTGGGGTCACATACCCCATACATTCCCTAGAAGTAGTATATACTCCCTATATATCCATCTAAGGTTACGTGAGCCGAAACCCTTTTTGGGTTCATTTGGTCCCGAAGGAACCCTGCTGGAAGCGATGTGCCCTGAAAGGTTGTGGGATGGCCTCAGCATGGAGGCGCTGCTGCTGGCTCCGTTCGACCAGGTCGAAATCGAGCTCCGGCGTGCCTGCAACGAGCTTGTCTCAGGGGAAACGGCTGTGCCAGAAGGCATCTGCCAGGAGGCGAAGCGGATTTGGAGCGCCCTACGCTGGATGCAGGCCGAGGGTGCCGAGGGAGAGGCGACGAAGGAGGTTCAGGAGCTGGCACAGGCCTGGTCTCTCCTGCTGTCTAAGGTGCAGGCCGTAGCTCTCGACAGGGCAGGAGTCCCTCATCCAGGAATCATGATCCCCATCACCGATGGTCAGCGGAGCTTCTGGCACCACTTCGCGGCAGCGGTGGAGTTCTTGCCAGAGCAGGATCTCGAGGAAGACGTTCTCCTGGCGATCTCGGAGGAGTGGACCTCAACAGCTACAATCGGCGAAGCCCTTCGTGCATTGGTAGACTTGCAATGCTTGCAGACCCCGACGCCTCCGAAGGCCCTTACTGTTTGCGTCCTTGGCCCTTCACCAAGCTTGGAGTATCAGAAGGGTCTGGAAGACCTACACCACAAGCTCCTTGCATGCTTGTTTGGCCTCGAGGCCCTCGAACACCCGTCACCCTCCCAGCCATCTTTGCGCCTGGTGTTTTGCGGTCCTGATGTGCCTGATACCATACATGCCACAGACTGGAAGTGCGGACAACTGCATGTCGAACATTTTCAGAGATGCTGGCATGACTTGAGAAAGAGCGGCTTAGAGACCGTGGATCTCGTCATCGCGTTGAATGCAGGAACTTCCGTTGCCCAATACCGAGACCTCTGGTTGCCGACTCTCACAGCGCTTGCAAAGCTGGAGCACTGCCTGCTCTGGCTTACAGGCTACACTGTACCTGAGGCTGAAGAGACATGGAAGGATGTGAAGAAGAGCTGCCCGCGCGCCGTTGCGCTGCATTGTGGCCCCGCACGAAGCTCTACACTGATGGGCATGGACCGGATCGAGCTCGGAGTCACTCCCTGCTCATACCCAGGCAAGGCAAACTATGCGGTTTGTGCTGCTTGGCTTCCAGGCAGCGTGTTCAAAATGACGGGATGCATGTGATGTCTGAGACCATGTGGTATCATGTGAAGCAGAGTTTACTTATTGGTGAGTGTCTACAAGGTTCCCTTTCAAATATTGGTGAGTGTATATATTTGGTGCCCTTTATGGGGGTACAAGAAATATAAGCCCTACTTCATGTGGTGTCGTGCGATCACTCTAAATCTGCCCTAGAAGGGTCGGGGTTGAACGTTGAGACCCGAGTTTCTGGACGGCGGACACCGACACGAAATGAAACTCAAGCCAGCCAACGACGCTGAAGCCTCCAGGATCCATCCCGCCCCCATTTTGCTCCTAGAGCCGACAGTTCCTTGAGTTGAAGTGATGCTGTTTAGGGTTTAGGGTTTAGGGTTTAGGGTTTAGGGTTGAGGTGCTGGTATACTAGTTCAACCTGCTGAGTATTTTAGCTCCATGGAGGAACTCGCAATCTCTCAGCAAATCTGTTCAGCATGGCAACTACAGTTGTTGTATTCCTACTATTAATTACTCCTCATTGAAATGCAATTCTGGTTGCCATTATGATTCGTTCAATGCGTTGAAGGCAAAGGCGACAGCTCGAGACTGGAAATGGATCGTGGGTGTTGGGCTTCTGAAACAGTGGCATCCTGGCCAATTCTGTGACCTTGATCTGCTGGGCGCTGCGCCGATGTCATCTCACCTCTGCGACACCTGGCATACAGGATCTCGCTGGCACGTGTATCACAGCAGACCGAATGAAGGATCGCTGTAACAGCTTCTTCGCTCTCCTGTGCTCGCAGAAGATCTAGAAACGACTCTTCAGATCTGCTTGCCCTTCGCAAGGCTGTGCAGAAAAAGCTTGAGGGCTCACAAATTTAGGGTTTATAGGTTTGTAGGGTTCAATTACAGGGTTTGTAGGGCTTATAGGGTTTGCAGCGTTTATAGGGTTTATAGGCTTTAAATGGTTTACAGAGCTTTGTAGGGTTTAGGGGGTTTAGGTCGCTGGCGACTGCGCGATGTGTGCGCCGGCGAGAGCTGCGAGTGGCAACTGTTGGGTTTCGCAAACGATGGGCAGAGATGACCCTGTTACCCCTAAACCCATTAAGACCCTATGAACCCTTTGAAACCTATGAACCCCATGAAAACTCTATGAAACCCTATGGAACCCCATAAAGCCTATCCACCCTAAACCCAAAACCCCAAACCCTAAACCCTAAGCCCTAAACCCCAAACCCCAAACCCTAAACCCCAAACCCCAAACCCTAAACCTTAAACCCTAAACCCTATACCCTAAACCCTGAACCCTAAAGCCTAAACCCTATACCCTAAACCCTGAACCCTAAAGCCTAAACCATAAACCCTACCCCAAACCCGAAACCCTAAACCCTAAACCTAAACCCCAAACCCCAAACCCTAAACCCTAAACCCTATAAACTCTGAGCCTTGCTCTTTGGGGCGGGGGGGGGGGGGGGGAAAACTACCCCAAACCCTAAACACCCTAAATACCCTAAAAACCCTATAAACCCTAAAAACCCTATAAACCCTATAAACCCTAAAAACCCTATAAGCCCTAAGCCTTCCTCTTTGGGGGGGGAAGAACTGCTGGAGAGGACGAATACCGTCACGTTGCGGCGGCAGCTCCTGAGTCCGCAGCTGCCGGAGCCCTGAATGGGGTTTAGGGTTTAGGGTTTAGGGTTTAGGGTTTAGGGTTTAGGGTTTAGGGTTTAGGGTTTGGGGCTTACTTTTGTTCGAGTTTGGCTCTTAGGATTATGAATTCTGCTACTGTTATGATGATGATGATGGTGATGATGATGATGATCATTGTTATTCTTACTTGTTGTTACTTTTGGTATGGTGATTGTGGTTATGATTGTTCGTGTTGCTGCTGTCACGACTTCTTATGACTCCATATTTGTATATGATCATGTTGATATTGTTTATTGATAAAAATTCTTGATGACTTATACAGCGCTGTCGTTCATCATCACCTATTGTGTGGGGTGGACGGTCCCCCAAAGCTGACTAATACATCCGTCGCTCACGAGCGGAATCCTTGAGGCATCTTTTTGGCGGGTCGCGCCTACGACAGACGTGTGTCATGTGGCCGCTGCCTCATCCAGAGATCCATACATTGGGGCTTCCCATGGGTTGCCACACCATAGATGACCCACAAGGATGTATTGGAACTTAATGATATAATGACATCATAACATGCTAGTAGTGTCAGTTTTGTCTGCTCAATCCATCGTGGCAGGAGACATGCAAGTTGTTGAGTAACTCGCGACATGTGCATCCTCAGGGCTACGCCAGGCATGAATGACATCACGGGGGAGGACGCGCCCTCAATCGGGCATGTTAAGCCAGACATTGCCGTAGCTCACAGCAGGTTCGGGGATCACGCAGACCGTAGCTAGACTTAATGCAGTTGCCATGCATAGAGCTTTGTTTCAAAGTAGTACCCTCGTGACCCCAATCTCCCGAGAATAAAGTCGCTGGTTGGCAGCAAACAATGTCCAAAAATCAACCCAACGGTGGGAGACTTCGCAGAGTTTCAAGCCAAAATGCTTTAAGCACCTCCCCAGACAAGGATGCAGGTGTTGATCGGTTGAGCACAGTTTCGCTCAAGAGCGAGTGGTAGCAAGTTGCATAGAAGTGAGCATGAAGATGCCAAAAGACTGCGAAAGATGAAAGGCAAAACCTCGCAACCACCAGCAGGGGTTAGGATTTAGGGTCTTGGGGCTTAGGGTTTTGGGTTTAGGGTGGGTCTGGTTAGCCTGCTTGGCACTTTCAGTCTTCGGGTCATATGGACGACTCAACACTCCCGTCGTGCAATGCCTCTAAGCTTCACCGACCCAATCCCTAAACCCTAAACCCTATAAACCCTAAAACGGACTTTCTGCGAGAGGAGTGGGGCCACGATGCGACAGACTTCGTCGTGTTTCCGCCCTACGGAGCTACGACCCTGGCTCTGGGAGCAGAACGCAGGTATCCCAAAACAGGGGATTAGGGTTTAGGGTCCTTGCTGATATTCCGGCTTTGGGGCCCTGTTGTTCCGGGTTTCCCTATACAATATTTGTAGTCAAAAAACCCACCCCGCATGGCCCATCAGGATGTGGGAATTTCTGAAAAATCGGGGTCCCTTTCTGGCCCTTAGCCTTATTACACCTAGACTCAAAACGGGACGCTGATTTAGTGCATTACACATGCACAACGCCCTTATAAACCCTCAATCGTAAACCCTACGCCCTAAGCCCACAGACACTTCCAAGGTCTGTCCAATGGAGCTGCTGGGTGGCTATGCCCTTCCGACTTGGACTATCATGCCGAACAGCCTCACCCTCGGCCCGGTGTTTTGGGTTTGTAGGAAGGTGTAGTGTTCAGGTTTATGGGTTTTAGGGTTTAGGGTTTCGGGGCTCGGACACTGTAATCCCTAAACCCTAAACCCTAAACCCTAAACCCTAAACCCTAAACCCTAAACCCTAAACCCTAAACCCTAAACCCTAAACCCTAAACCTTCGCTGTTCCGAGGTCATCGCTTCCAACCGACGCATGCCTTGCAGGCACAGCGCATCGTGGGCGCCGAAGCTTTGACATGGAGTTGCCCAAAGCTTCTTGTGATTACAGTTAACATAGGCGCAATTAAAAATAGATTATAAAAGCTTCATGTTAAACGTACGGAGATATGAGCATATGATATTACGTATTAAGAGTATCGGCTAGTACACGAAGCCGAAGCATGAACCCAGACGACGTCGAAGCCCATCGCTCAGGGTTTAGGGTTTAGGGCTTAGGGCTTGGGGCTTGGGGCTTAGGGCTTGGGGCTTGGGGTTTAGGGTAGGGTTCCTGCGTTCGCCGGAAGGTGCGAATGTGGCGAGTGAAGCTGCTCCGCAAAGAAGAGGTCGCAGGCCGGGCCGTCTGCCCTTGCTCGTGCCACCTGACAGCCCTTCCAACCCAAATGATGAGCCCAAACCCTAAATGGTTGGAGAAACTTTTCTGTCGAGCATCCTTTACTGCCGTTTGTTGAGGGCTGTAGACAGAAGCTGTGCATCCACGCACGTTCAAAGGGGGGCCCCGACAGGTATGGCAGAGTCGTCATACGACCGCGCCATGGGGGCAAACCCCACGCCGTGGCCCACAGCCTCGTTAAAGCGCTGTCACGTTGTTATCCTGGAGCATGTCTTTGACTTGCCGCAGCTGGTTGGGTGCTTGCTGTGTGTACTTTGCGGGTCCGGCAGAACTGTTACTAAGTTTCGTAAGCAGCACCACTGCAACACTGTCTGAGACGAATCCGCGTTGTTGCATGCTGCGGCTTTGCAAAATCGATTTCGGCTGACTTGCGTGACATTCTGTGCCATGCTTGTTCAAAAAAGAGGTCCGAGGACGAAGTGCCCTACGATGCTCTCCGCTTGGAGGACTGTCAGTATGCTTGTGTTTCAGCTCAGGTGATGGAAATGGGTTGATGCGAGTCCGGAAGATTGATAGGCTTCCCGTAGCAAAAGTACACCCTAAAGCCGAAAGCCGAAAGCCCAAACCCCAAACATAGCAGCTTTCGGGGGATAAGGAGGAGGCACAGGCTGGGTTCGTTCTTCGCCGTGTGGAGTCTAGCGGCTTGCGTCGTGGTGCTTGTGTGGTGGGTCTGGGACTGGTGAGCTTCATCTGTTCCATACTCTTTGAGGTGGAGGTACTGCGGGTACATGTTTTCAAATTGTGGCTGGATTGGATAGCGGATGCCTGGTCATGCACCTATAAGATTATCGAAGAGTCGAGACCATATGAGGTATAAATGGATATGCTTCCAGTGCTATACAACGTTGTGCTTTGAAAGGGGTTCCACTGCGTGCGCGCGAATGCTGTATATATATATATATATATATCAATGGTGCTCTCCATCTTTCATGCTCCATGTGCTTTGCTTCACTCTTGCAGTGAACTCGCCCTTGTTAGATGCCATCATAGAGTATAGGCAGGTTTAATTCAGTTTGTCTCGGTGCAGATGAGATGCAAATCGGTGGGTCATCGTTCTTACAGAATGTGCAGGGGCACACGGTCCCAAGGCTTAAACACCTAAAGATTCAGATTAAAGCTTCGTGTGATGTGCCGCACTGACCAGGAGCTACCCTTGAGCTCAGTGACGTGCGACTGCTCCTCACGAGGCAATTCCTTCTGCATCATATTTCGCCAGGCGCCTGGTGGCACCTAGGTCTGAAGGATGGACGTGGTTGATGGGCATCAAGGAATATTTGGTGAACCAGTACCAAGTTATAATGCCCGAGCAGAAAGGAATCATTGGCAGCGCGAAGCCTCCACGGGACAAGAGTCGCGGCACTTCCCGTGCAAAATGTTAGATAACTGCATACAACATGTATGCAACATTGATCATTTCTTTTTTTATACCGTTTCATGACGTCGTGTAAAACATTTTGCATCGCACGACAAAGTAAGGTAACAAACATGATATACAAAAGTATATATATATATTATATGTATATATATATATATGTATATCATATTGTATATACATATATACATATATTAATATTAATATGTATATACATATATATATCTATAGAATGTTATATATTTGATTGCACCCTTCTGCCCAGACACAAGGTCCACAGCTTGCTCGCATCTGCGAGGGAGATCAGTTTGAGGCCCCTGCACCG